ATATATACTTGGCTTAAAAAGAATAACATGGAGTGAACTAGCAATATTTTGCCCCTTTTCTTTCCAAATTCATGCTTATGCTGCAGATGGAAATGATCTCAGAGCATGATAACTCCTTTTAAGGAGTGAAAAAAAAGGGATTATTTTCTGCTACTTGGCTTCAGGGACTTTGAACTAAACTAAGTTATCATACTGACTTTCATTGGTTTTCAGGAACATTTTCTTAAATGCTTTATTGAAATAAGTGTCAATAATTAGATTACCAATTTGAGTTGCTTTTCTCCAATTAAGGACCTTAAAAAAGGAGACTTGAACAAATGTCACACTGCTGAATAAAGTGAAGGATATTTAAGAATCTAAAATTGAATTTAACTTAAATGTCGTAACAGAGTAGATACCAATACAACATGGATCTGAGCAGCAGTTTTGATACCAATCTCTTGGGATGAAACTAAATAGAAGTAGAGGTCTGCATTAGAAGAAATTTGTCTTTTAAAAGACAAACTGACAGAAAGTGAAAAGAAATACACCGTATGTGGTTTTTTTTATGTGGTTTTCCTAACTGGAAATAGAGCAACAGCTCCATTCAGAAAAGAGGCTGTTATCTTCTCAAGCAGAGGAGCTGAAGTATTTCAAAAGCTTGTTCATAAGATAGCGGGATAGAGTGGGATAAATAATTTCAGCATGCAGTGCTCTATAATGATTTTAAAAAATGCCATGTAGTTCAGACACACAAGCTTCTTGATGAAAGAAAACTAGTTCCTTCAATCCAGTTTTAAACTGGGCGTGATTTTAAGTCATAATCTAAGCTGGAAACCCCAAATAGAAAATGTTCAATAAAAAGTGGCATGAAGCATAGCAATACTGTCTAGAGTAAGACGCTTGCTTGATCATAGAGCACGACATATCCTCTACAATTCATTAGTTCTTCCATACAATAGTTATTGCATAGAGGTTTGGGGTAATACCTACAAAAGTAATCTAGATTTACTTATCATACTTCAGAAAAAACCTTTACGAATCACTCATAACGTTGGATTCAGAGTTCATACTAATGCACTTTTCTTAAAATCTTACATCATGAAAAATAATACTCAATCGAATTTAAAACTCTTGCTGTAGTGTACAAAGCAAGTCGTGATCTACTTCTTGGCAATATACAAAAAAATGTTTGCAATTAGAGAAGAGCATCATAATT